CCCTCTCTATAGTCATGGGAGGGTTGAGGTGACATGTAGTATGCCACTGTGTGCCACCGTGTTGAGGTGACATGTTTTTGGAAGCTGCGTGTGCCATTGTATGCAAATGGTAAAACAATATTTGCAAACTTGGCCGATCCAACTTGGAACTGGCCAGTTACACCCAATGTTCGCAAAACCGGCAGGTTAGAGCTGGAATAGGCCGGTTAGATCACTACCGGTGGGATGGTGACTCCTGTTAGGACTGGTTTTGGTCAGAAATTAGTGAATATTAATATTTGATCGATTTTAGCTAATTGCATTATCATATTTTTAAACTCTTTTTACTATTTTTTATTTAATTAAAACTTAATTTAAGTTGTTCAACTAGCTAACGGATCGATTTTGACAAAATCAGACCATTTTTTTGCAGTAGATCCATACATGAAGTTTTCAAATTTATTTATGGGCTTCATGTTATAGATAACCAATTTACTACACTCAAAAGTAGGAAGCATGTGGAGTTGAAAGGACTATAAAGTGTAAAACACTATATAACGAATGGTGGCAAGCATGCGCTCTTCGATAACATGGGTTGTTCTGTTGTGGTTGGGTAGATCAGTGGGAATTACGGCCCGTTTAGAAATAGTTACTAGTTTTCGAATGCTCTAGTGGGAATGAAAATCTAAACTGAAAGCTGAGGCTCGAGTGGTGCTACCACTATGACTTCAACCCCATTCCTAATAACATGGATTTTACGATTCAAACAAGCCACGCTTTGAGATTGCCAAAGGTTTAGTGCTTTGAATGTGGCGGAAAATACGCAAAGATGTTCGAATAGGCCACAACAAGTGTTCCACATGGTCTAAAATTTGCCAGTTTAATCGGCCACTGAACAATTTGATGTTCCAGTAGAAAATTAAAAATATAAATAATAAATGGAAAAACTTAATATAGAGCTGAGACTCTAAGCAATCAAATTAGAGCCCACCTCAAAAATTTCACTAGAAACGGTTATTTTGATGATGCTAAAATATCTTCAAATTGATCATCTGGACATTCAAGATGCATAGACATGAGAAAAGAATTAGATTTCAAGTTTTAGAAATAGTGCATCTTGTAACGTATTTTTGGATCGTCAATTTTCAAGATTTTCAAGTTTTTATAGATCTACTCGATCTACACTATTTTTGAAGCTTTAAATTTATAATTAAAAATGAAAATATATTTTAACGCTATCATAAAGATTTTCAGTATTGAAACCACATTTCTCGACATTATTTGAAGGTTTGCTTTACATTATTTAGAGTAATATAAATGATAGAAAACTCAATATCTGATTTTTATAACTATCAACAAGAGCCTCAGCTCTATACAAACCGCATCCATAAATAAAATAGTTGCAAATAGCCATCCATTGGGAATAATATCAATTAGAGAGAATCAGGCTGATTCCTTCTATGAGTTGGCTGATTCCGATTTGGATCAACACTTTTTAAAACCCAATACTTAATGTTCTACAAAAACACATGTGAAAATACATGCTATCCAACTTATATACACTTAAATAGCATTAAATGATGACAATTTTTAAAGCCCAAAACTTAATGTTTAATAAAACAATGTAGAAACGCGTGCTATCTCACTAATATCACTTGCCAAGATAATTTCATCTGAAATGCTTCTCTCTCTCTCTCTCTTTCCTTCACCTTTTTTAAGACAATGTTACTTATATATTGATTAAAGGATCAATACAAACTTTTTAATACATCAACGTTTGCAATGTCTGCATTTCAACTCCCTTCTTGATAAGGCCATCAATTTCTGAATTTGCTTCTCGATACACATGTTAAAAAGATGATTATATAGCCGAACATGAATCGAGAATTTTCAACAACTTCCTTCTCAAGCGCCATCCATTGGACTTAGTTGGAGAATTTCTCGTCTATACATTTATGTGGGTTTTATATGGTTATGTTATGAGGCTATTTATTTTTGGGACAAGGTCACAATCATTTTTTTGACCTCCTTATATAAAAAATAGGATTTTATTAGGGTATTACTATACATAAAATAGTTTTTTAATGTGGTCAACCTTTTTTTTCTGATACTTAATACCATTAGTAGGTAATTGATAGCTAAACCCTACCATTAGTAGGTAATTGATAGCTAAACCCTACCTATTTTATCATTTGTTGTAACTTGTAACCAACGCCCTATGCTAAATATTTGATCATTTGTTGTAACTTGTAACCAACGCCATATGCTAAATATTTCTAAAGCATTTATTTATGATTTCAAATTTCAAACATGTCATTATTATCTAGAGCCAGCCATTCAAAAAAATTATTATTTAGGATCAAGTGCGTATTGTAAGTTCAAATATTGTCTTTTTTGACTCACATGTTTCACGTGATCCATACATTAAGATTGAATCGTACTGAGCCCATGAGGGGAAAGATTCCCCGCTCTTTTGGGAACATATTTTGGAAAAATCTCAACTTAGGAGTATCTTTAGGACCTAAAATCTTGGGGATTTAACTTGCTCAGCAACAAAAAAAAAAATAATAATTTCCTTATTATAATATCATTAAAGGGGTTAGAAAATTACAAATTACAGTGTTGGAAAAGACAAATGCTTCAATAATTTTATTTCAAAAAAAGCTTTAAATGAATGAAAGAAGTATCTCTTTGAGAGTAAAATTATCAAAGTACCCTAAACTATTTTGGCTTTCCAATACCAAATAGGGGCAATTTGGATATTTTTTACGTAAAAGTATTTGATTAATATAGAAATTTAAATGTATAGACCTCTCAACGTAATGTATATTGTTTTAACACATTTCGTGATATTGTAAAGGGCAATCCTTTTTTTTTATTCCCCCCCCCTAAAAAAAGAAAAGGAAAATCATGTACTCTATGTGCCTAAAAAAAAGTATATATCCAAAGATTGAACATGGGACTATCAAATTTGGGCAGGCAAGATCTAAATGTCATGAACTCAAAATCCCCATATCTTTTATCTAGGGATTGATCATATGTATTTTAAATGGGATTGTATACTATGAGAACATTTATCTTTGTTACAAAGAGTTTACAATTGCTCTCATCTGTTAGATATCAAATTATATGGCTTAAAATGCACACAAAGTTCGAGAAGTTCCCTTTTGAACTTTGAGTTTAGTTAATGATACAATCACAACAGCTCAATTTGAAAGTTGATAGACAAGAATGATTTTGACCTCCTTGTATTAAAAGTATATGGTCTATTATAAACTTTTTCATTTTAAATATAAAATCTCACTGTGTATTAGATTCTTTTACCTCTTTTACCAAATGCCCTTTTATCCATTTCCTATTAATCCCAATAATCCCAATAAGAAAAAGACAAATAAATAAAATCGATAAACAACTTACTTGAATCTGTCTTTAAATCACATGAGGGACTTAAGGTTCCATACCAAATCCTATAGACCAAGCTATACGGTGACATGCAACCTTGTGAGTCCTCTTTGATGAGTCTCATTCATCTTAGATGTTGCATTTTTATGCTGCCTATTTCTCTTGAGGGGTTAATCTCTTTTTATAGAGAACTATTTTGGTTTGTAACTCTCACATTCATGGTCTATAGAAGTTGAGATCCAACGATAACTCCTGCTTAAATTCCCTTAGGTGCAGGAATTAGGATTAATAAGTTGTCATCAAACTGTTAATCCTATGTAATGAGCTAAACCTGTCATTAATCCACTAATGACTTCCCATAATAGGATGTCATCCAAGCATTTCCGTAATTTGATAAAAGATATTTGAAAATTAAATAAATTTTGTGTATCTATAACATGAAAACAAATTCTTACAAAAAATCCAAACACACCGCTGCGGGTTTCCTTCAGTGTAACATCCTATTAAAGCAATATAGATCCAAGTATGGATCCAAATACACAATATTGCCTCATGTTAACCACATAGGATTTCATATATACTTCAATATGGATTTTTTACCATTATTAAAAAATAAAATTTCGGAAAAAAATGGCCTAATAGGCCACATTTCCAACATTTCCACTCCTACATGCTTCGGAAACGAACACCCATAAACACTATCATCCTCAACCTACAACAACGAGCTGCAGACACCGGCTTGAACATGAGTTGGATGAGAAAGAATGAAATTAAGCCGTCTTCACCACCCCCAACATTGTTCTACCAACATTGTGATCTTCTCCATAACATACAGACATGCAATGAACATAACATAACATAGTTGTATTGGTGCGGTCCATACAAGGTGTCAACCGTAAACACTCAAAAGGCAATCCTCTTATTCCTGCTAAAAGACGTATTTCCAGTGCTGGAAACCTTACAATGACTCAGAAATCTATTTTAACCCCTAATTGCAAAATTTAAAGCTATATTTATCAGACCTATAAATGCTTGAAAAATTTGAAAACGAACTTTCTAAATAATATGTTACAAGATTTACTATTTTCAAGATTTGAAATTCTTTTCTTTAAATAAAGATTCATCTTGGAGACAAAAAATTCAATTGTGGGGTTTTTTTGACATCTGAACAACCTTTTCAAGTGGATTTTTGCCGCATAATATCGACACTTTATACAAAATTTTTCCTAGTTTTATATGGGAAATGCCTCTTCTGAGGACAAATTGGTTTAAGGAATCCTCAAGTTTTATTAAACATGCAAAGCTAGTCCTCATACTAGGTATTTTTTAAGGCCTCTAACTGTTAAAGCATTACCATTGCCAGATACAACGGGTCATCTCTTAAGAAAAAGGTTTTCTTAATTCCCTAGCAAAGCCAGGTGCGGCTCGTTTTTCTCCCACAAACGTTTCAATGGTTTCGTTGTTTTATTTTCTTATGTCACTCACCAACTAGGCAATTTTTTAGCATAAAATGAAATAATTGGACCTTGCACAGTTGTAGTGGAGTTTCACACTTTCTTTATAAGATTGTGATGGGAGATGCAGCAACTTCCACCCTCTATTTATTATATATGGCACACTCCAAGCTCAACACCAGCAAGAGCTATGCAAAATATGGGTGCCCTTTGGCCATGGATCCAAGCCTGCTTGGCCATTGTTACATTGATAGAGATCTTGTGGCTCCTTCTGAGGAATAGGAGCACCAAAGAGACCGCAAGGCTCAACCTCCCTCCAGGCCCTCTTGGGCTTCCAATCATCGGAAACTTGCACCAGTTAGGATCGTTACCTCATCGATCCTTTGCAAGTTTGTCGTGGAAACATGGCCCGCTCATGTTCTTACAGTTGGGCCGTGTTCCCACCCTGGTGATTTCCTCTGCCAAAATGGCTAAGGAGGTGATGAAAACACAAGACTTGGCTTTTGCAAGTCGGCCATTCCTTGTCGCTGCTAATCGCCTATGTTATGGAAGCACCGATATGGCTTTTGCACCATATGGTGATTACTGGAGACAAGTAAGAAAGATCTGTGTGCTACAATTACTCAGCATAAAGAAGGTGCAGTCGTTTAAGCTGGTAAGGGAAGAAGAGGTTGCTAGCATGGTTAGAGCCATCTCTGGCTCTTTTGGTGGTGGCCCTGTGAATCTGAGTGAGGCATTTTATACCCTCGCTAACAACCTAATATGCAGGGTTGCACTAGGCAAGAGTTACTACTCTGAAGGACAGCAAAGGAAATACGATTTTCGCAAGATTGTAGGTGAATTTGCAGAGTTGTTGGGAGCCTTCTGTGCTCGTGACTTCTTTCCCTCTATGGGGTGGGTGGATATCGTCACCGGGATCAGAGCCCGGCTCAACAACAACTTCAAAGACTTGGATGGTTTCCTTGATGAAGTGATCACAGAGCACCAAGGCAAGGAGGTTCCTGATCCTACAACCAAGCAGCAGTCCGACTTTGTCGACATTTTGTTGCAGCTCCAAAAGGATCCAAGTCTTGATGTTCCTCTGAGCATGGACAACATCAAAGCTATTATATTGGTTAGCCTCAGACACAAGCCTATGCAATCCCATCGTTGTTAGATTTTATCCTAATAACTAACCTGTGTTTGTGCACACTGCAGGATATGTTTTCTGGAGGAACCGAGACGTCGGCAACCACTTTAGAGTGGTTGATGTCTGAGCTCATCAGGAATCCGATCGTAATGAGGACAGTTCAAGAAGAATTACAACGAGTAGTGGGAGGAAAAGGCAAGGTATTTGTTGAAGAAGAGGATCTTCATGAGTTACAATACCTTCAATCTACAATCAAGGAGACCCTTAGGCTATATCCTCCAGCTCCCCTTCTGGTACCACGCGAACTAAGGGAGAAGACTACGATTAATGGACACGATATCCCTGCAAATACTAGAGTCTACATAAATGCTTGGGCCATAGGTAGGCAGCATGATTCATGGGAGAGAGTTGATGAGTTCTTCCCTGAGAGGTTTATGAACAATGACATTGATTTCAAAGGACACGATTTCGAGTTCATTCCATTCGGGGCTGGACGAAGAGGGTGCCCAGGATATCATTTTGCCCTACAAATTGTGGAACTCGCAGCGGCAAATCTCCTCCACTGCTTTAACTGGAAGCTTCCCTCTGGGTGCCAAGGTCTAGACATGGCTGAATCCTCTGGGCTTACTATGCATAGAAAATCTCCTCTAATGCTTGTTGCCACTCCACGATGTACTTAAATTATAGGAACATTGTTAAATTTGCTAAAGTGTATTTTTTAGAAATTATATTAATCTTTAGTTATTTTATTCTGAGTGATGTAGTGAGGTTGTATTTGTAAATTTGTGTACTAAGAAGTTATGAAACTATTAGGTGGTTAGAAATTATTGTTGCAAGTGAGTAGTTATTTTAGTAAATATGGTTATAAGAACCTCTATTTAAAGAGAGGTGTATGATGAGAAAATCAATTACATGTGTATAAAGTGTAATACCTTTGTGTACTCCATTTTCATATTGTTGGAATGAAAGTTGTAATGATGTTGTGTACCCTATTTTTCCTATTTTAAAGGGAAATTTTCTTTGGCCCCATCCTGATTGTTTTTCTTTTATTTCATTGGTTGTGAATCTTGGGCTAGTGTGATATTGTTACGCTAATTGCAAAATGATAATAATTTTGTTAATCTTGCCGATGGGTCAGGCCATGTTTTGGATGTTCATCCTTGATGGCTTAGCTAGTTTTTTGTTTTCTTGATATTGTTCTAGCTAAATACCCGCTCACTATCTTGTAGAGTGAAACCTTCTTTGGGGTAGAGCAATGTTTCCAAAACTGGGCGATCTAACTGTTAACTGTCCGGTTTCGATTTTGGGCGGTTTTGTTGATCAACCGGTATTTAAAAAATGATATTAAAAAAAAAGTGTATATAAATTCCCAAAAATAAGGAATTGGATTTGTAATGCATTTTTTTAATAATCTTTACATTATGGTAAAGATTAAAATTTGTTTTGTTCATTAATACTCACTTTTATATTTTTCCATCTTCTAAAGAAAATTTTAAAAATACCCTTAGGCAGAAATCGACTCGTTAAAATCCATTTTTCCATTAATTTGCAACTTCATTTGAATGTGTTTTGTTTTAATCATTCTTTATATGATTTTCACATTTTAGTAAATTTTTTTTGTACTTCTTTTTTTTTTTCAACATTTTTTTGACCGCTTGGGACTTGCCCGATTAAAGTGGTTGAATCGGCCGGTTTACCTGTTAGGCGATTAAACCGCTTCCAAGCCGATATCCAGTTAAATGGTCCGGTTCGATTTTTTAAACACTGGCATAGAATCAAATGAGAAATTATGGAATGACATTCTGAGGTGCTATGCTGATTTTAGTGGGATGGGGATGGGGATGGGGATGGGTAGCATCTCTGAATTCGGGAGTGTATGTTTGCATGGATATTTTGTGGTACTGCCACTAAGGTGCCTTGAAATCAAAATTTCCCTAGTACAAATTGAATCTCGGTATCAAATACACTGAAAAATTGCCAGAAATAGTGGAACTGGAAGTCGGGCCCCAAAGTAAGCTCAATTCAGGGCATAAACTGTCGACCCTCGTATTGCAAGTTAGGGGGGCTCCCTAATAAAATCCATAAATTACAGGTTTTGTTATGCCCCGGTCTGCTATGGAGCCCGGAATAAAAGGCCATGATTGGAAGCTTAAAAAAAAAAATCGATGCTGATCGACTCGAGAGTGAAAGGGTATTGGATTTGGTACTATCCAAAATCACTCACATTAGGAAATCTCATATTATGTGGGATTGAGATTAATATCGGTAAGTTTTCTAAAGGAGATAGAAATCCAAAAAGATTAGAACTGTTGGATATATCTATTGGCTTTTGAGATTTATGTTACATCTATAGGAAGTTTCCTATTTGATGTGAATTCTTAATCTTATATATGGGATGACAATATAGAGAATTTGTGTGTGTTATTTGGGTCACTATATGGGAGGGTGTGGCTTTCTCTAGAGAGAGAGAGAGAGAGAGAGAGAGGAGGGCATCGACCTCCTCTGCATGAGAGTAGGTAAAGGGTTCAGTCTTACTAAGTGGAAGAAGAAACTAGTTGTGATGA